AAAAGGAATTAGGGTTTACAGGAATAACAAACAAATAAAAAAAATCCATCAAATGATATGGTTCCCAGACTATGGATGGCACTGGAACTTGGAAGCCCTAAGAGAGAGAAAGAGAGAGAGAGAGAGAGAGGGCTTCCTTACCAATTGAAGAGGGGATTAGAAGGACGAAGAAGAACAGCGACAACAAAAGGCCGCAATCCATTGTATCATTGTATTTGGCGCCCGCCGGCAGCATAAAAAAGGGAACAACCGTAGCGTAMCCAGTCCACAAGCAGATTTATCTGTAACCAGATGCAGCTCTGTTTTATGTTGAATGCCCGAATCGAGTTCCAGTGACAGACGGGTCTAGAACTCCAGATTGAGATTGGTCTCTTCTCTTTGAGCAATGAGCATTAGAATGCTGAATCGGGTCTCTCTCTTCTCTTTGACCAATTATGAAGTTCCACGACAGTAATAAATTCATGGGCCCCATAAATGATGCGGACTTATATTTAGTAAAAATTCTCAATAGTTATTTAGGCCGATTGACAATTTAGTACCCAAACTTTAAAATGCAACAATATATTAGGCAAACTTTCATTTTATCACAATCTAATACTTATATATATCAGGTCAAAAATTTTTGAAAATATCAAAATTACCCTTAAAAATAAAATATATTATTCATCGTCTTCTTTCTCAAAAGAAAATAAAACAGAATCCAAAGGGTTGGCCGCTAGCCACCACCATGACCAGCGGGAAGATAAAGAATTTAAGACCATCCGTCTAATGGAGCAAAGCAACCATGGCAGATAGGGACACTGACTACATTTAAGCCCTTATGATGGTTGCTTGCTTCATCAGCTCGGTCTGCGGTTAGTCGCAACTCATGCTACCTAATCCGCTCGCCAGGGGCAACTTCTATAGTTGCACTTTCACTGCCCACAGATGGCTCGAATATACTACCACCCTCCATCCAACTGCGACGATGGAGACAATCACCACCAGCTCCCTGGTCATCCCTCACAACGGTATCGCCGGTGGCAGCAACGCCATCCCAACCCAAAGAGATATCTTTCACTTGTCACAACCAACGGCCTCTTTTGCAACCTTACTCCCTCATGAAGCAATTGGTCGCAGAAGCACCCAGAAGAAGAATAATCCCATTAACCATCTTGATGAACTTGATTCCTTGAAGTGTGCTCATATTGCATCCCATAGGGTGCGTTCTATTTTCTGTGCAATCAGTGTAGATGAATGAGCCCACAACCATGCCACTGAACCACTCAAGCTCAGTGTTCCATTTTGAGGAATACATGGCCACAAAGACTGAAAGGGTGAATAAGGCTCTAGACGAGGCTGTTTCTCTGAGACATCCACTCAAGTTACATGAGGCCAGGAGGTAGGTATTCATTGCTGGCCGGCAGAAAGCACATCTGCCCCATCTTGTGCATCGCATCCTATGAGTTAGTGGGAGGGGATGAGTCGCTGGCTCTTCCCGTGGCGTGTGCAGTTGAGATGATTCATACCATGTCACTCATACACGATGGCCTCCCTTGCATGGACAATGATGATCTGCGACGAGGCAAGCCCACCAACCATAAGGCTTTTGGGGAAGCCATAGTTGTTCTTGTGGGGGATGCACTGCTTCCCCTTGCCTTTGAGCATGTCGCGTCTAGGACCATTGATGTGTAGCCGGAGCTTGTCGTTCGAGTAATGGCCAAGCTGGGTGCAGTAGTTGGGTCTGACGGACTTGTGGTAGGTCAAATTGTTGACATTGCCTGTGAGGGTCAACAAGTAGTGGATCTAAAGGAATTGGAGTACATTCATGTTCACAAAACTACAAAATTGCTTGAAACTTCGACCGTCTATGGAATGATATGGGTGGAGGAAACATGGCCGAGGTGGAGAGGGTGAGAAGGTATGTCAGGTGCATTTGTTTGCTGATTCAGGTGGTGAATGATATTCTGGACATTACAAAGACTTCGAAGGAGTTAGGGAAGACGGCCGGCAAGGACTTCATTGTAGTTCCATGGCTATCACCTTCGATACCACAGACTTGATTCTTTATTCCGTTGTATAACTAGATACATAGTTTGGAAGAAGGGAAAAAAAAAGAAAAAAAAAAACATGATGAAATAACAATGGAAAGATGCCATTTTTTGGGAGAGTTCTATTTCATTCTGTTTTACGGGGCAACTTCTGTAGTTGCAGTAAGTGGTGAAGATGATGGAACGTTGGAGTTTGAAAATGTTATCTTTTTTCATTTGGGATTCATTTGATAAAGAAAATTAGGTGAAACTTAAAAGGTATTTGTGTCTTTTTCTCATGATACTTAATGGTGAATTAACGCCAGGTATTAGATTATCGCAAAATGAGAATTCGAGTACTAGATTGTGGCATTTTAAAATTCTGGTACTAAATTGGCACTCAACCTAAATTATAAGTACCTATTGAGAATTTTCCCATATATTTAATACGAGTCTGCGATACACCCGAAGCGTGAACCCTCCGATAAAAGGTGTGCACGTCACCAACTTTATACTCATGCTAACGTTAACGGGATTCAAACGTTAGTTACTTGAATCCGGTTGAACCGGACACAAAAGGACAAATAAATATGAAAACCCATTATTTGAAATTTGGGATTTCTTTCGAACTCCCTCCCAATTTCTTTCTCCTCGAGCCCTAACCCAAAAGTAGCATCCCACCGGCGTCCGTAAACGTGGAATCGACTGGCGGAAAAAAATCAACCAACAGCAAGCCTTCTTGTCTTCTGCTTCCTATTCTTCTTCAAATCTTCTTCTCTTCTTCTTCTTCTTCCTCTTCTTCAAATCTTCACTTGTTCTTCTCTTGTCAACAGATCGAGGTCCATTGTTCCGAAGCCGGCGGTCACCAATCCCCAGAACGAAGGTCCATTGTTCCGAAGCCGGTGGTCATCAATCCCCAGAACGAAGGTCCACCGTTGGGGCAGCATGATATGGGATGATAATTTTGCTCTGAAATTTATTGTTTTTCCTGTTCAGAAGCCTAATGCCCTTACTGTATCTCTAGCGTGGAGGTAACCTCTCCCTCTATTGCTTTTCTTTCTCTCTTTAATGAAGTTCTTCTTTCAAAATAACTAACTAACTAAATAAATAAACAAACAAAAGCATTCCCATTCAATTTTCATCATCTATATCATATTTATCTGAAAACATATGTGGGTCTCTCATTGGTGTTTTGTTGTTAATGGAATTTGTATAGGGTTTTTGGGATGATGCCATGATGGTTGATTAAATTTTCCTACCTATTTCTATTTGATCTGGATAATGGAATTTGGTCCTTAGAAAGAAGTCATATCATTGATAAATCTAAAAAAATAAAAGAGAGTTGGCTGTTAACCCATTGGGTTGCATGGCCGATACACATTAAGAACACCATGAGGCAAATAAAAATGTGGACATGAAGATATACACATGAATTGAAAAAGAATAAAATGGAAAATTTTATTCCTCTCATTTCTAAATCTCTTTAACCATTTTCCTTGGTTTGTATCATTTAGGCCATCATCTATGGTAAACAAAGTCATTCTTCCTCATCATTCTGCCCATCCTGATGCAGGATTGGTGCTTGGTAGGGCCTACAGTGCTGGGTCTAATATAAAATTTGAGTGAAATTTGAAGATAAAATGATTTAATTTTGGTTTAGGTCTAGCATTTAGATTAAGAGTGAAAATAGATTTGGGTTTGGATTAATGATTATTTATGTCTATAATGTCTGCTATTCTCACTCTTATATCCATGTTTCTTCTGAGTACCTTCATAGATGTTCTGACAAAAGAAAGGGATTTGGTGGTTCACATCCATCGCCCTCAATTTGCAAGTATTGCATTGAAAGTTATTCATTGTGTCCATTTTGCCATTTTTGGCAAAATGAACCAAGAGAGACGCTTCATGGTTGCAACTTCAATTACTCCAGTGGCAGGTTGGGATTGCACGACACTCTGAAACACAGAATTGCAAATTCAGTAGGTTGTGATATTTGAAAATGCACTGATTGTGATCAGGCAGATGTAGTATCAAAACAAACCAATGCCTTGCTAGTTACAAACTGATCATTGAATTATCTTGTAGTGTATCATGATTTTTCTCATTGAATTATCTGGGTCCTATCCAATTTCTAATTTGCCCTCTAATTTTGTTTAGGTTTTATGAATTTGCTCTTAATACAGATCTGGAAGCTGTCCAGAGGACCCGGGGAAGAGGAAGATGGCTTTGCATTTCATTATATTTTTGGCTTCGTTCAGCCATACTATGTAGAAGATGATAGGCTTCGTGCAGTGTGTTTGTTGTAATCATATAGTCTTCTCTCTTGATGAGAGTTTGTAATTTTAATTTTTCTTTACAAGGCAATCTTGCCCAATCTGGTTTTTGGTTGTATCTCAATAACAATACATTTAGCTATGCATTATTATGGTGTATGCGGCTTCAGTGGGATCATTGGGCATGATTATATTTGTTAGAGATTGGTGCATCAGAATATAAAGGAATCAGATCATAAAATGTAATCAGGACCTGGAAACCAGTCATGGCTTAGGGGAGAAGTTCTTTTATCTGTAAATCCACTTACACTTCCCATAATGTGCAAAAGGCGTGGATTCTGAAAAAATGCATGACCTACGCCCTTGTAATGTTGAAGTATCTCTTTTGGGGGCTGAAAGTTTTTTTAAAGAACATGTGAACTGAAACAATGCAATATCTTAATGGTGTGGTTAAAAGTTACTGTTTTGTGAATGTAGACCTTCATGTACTTACAACCCAGATCACATAATTGTGTTATTTTCATTAAATTGAGGAACTTACACGTGGAATTAAAAAAGTAGATAAGAAGAAATGATAAAAGGTTCACATCTGCTACTAGAATGGTGTCAAGGGTTCACAAAAACTCCTTCACATACCTAATGAAATGAGCGATTACAAAAATAGACATAACACTTAGCTGCCTCATTGTTAAGTGTATAAACACCTTCTATCACATCCAAAAAGCAACAAGCCTCACTAATTCTTATAGATACACAAGAGAATAAACCCAATTATGAAATGAGTGGTCTTCATCTCTTCAATATGTAGTTGGTCGGAAGATAGCAATGATTCCAATATTTTTAAACGATTATCCATGTCAGCCACCAACTTGTCAAGCTCATCAATTTGGGTTTCTAGATCTTATTGGTTGTGCATGGATGAAATGCCATCATCCTCAAGGCCTTTTGGAACTGTGCACGCAAAATAATCATACCACTTCCCATTTGGTTTGTTTGCCTACATGGATGCAACATATTAGTCAACAAATATCCATAGAAGATTCTCTAATAGCAAAAATTTAGCATACTCTAGTAGATCTAAATAATTATCTTCTGGCAGATTTGATTATTTCCCATGCTTTGAGATGAAATTCAGTGTTATTTGATAAAGATGTTTGCTATTTTTTCAATTTATATACATGTTTTGTACATTAAACTATAGAATTAACTAATAACTTAATTTTTGTTCTTTGCAAGATTCCATCTCAAACTCATCACTTAGGGGCTCATTGTCACCTAGAATCAACAACCATGAACAACATTAAGTGTATATAGCACCTGGTGTTGACCTTTATGGAATTTGGCCAATTGGCAAATACAGATGATAGCAGTGTAGCAAACATATGAAAATTCATATACAAACACTTTAAACTAAGCCAATTAGGTTGTAGAGTGTATCTTATCTAATTCAAGTTGGCCAATTTGTGGATTCATTGAAATGAAATGTTCCCTCTATTTACCATGAATTTTGCATCTCTAGTAAAGTGTGCTGCAGAACTGAATGACCCTCATATCTATCCCTCATCCAAGAAACCACAAAAGCTTAGAATTTTATAGAATATGGTCATATTAAATATATTTGTTTCAATAATAAGTTCTACACTACAATGACTGCACTATTTTTCTTTTTATTTTGGCGAGTTAAGGGAAGATTTATAATCTACCATAGACCACCGGTTGGTGTTGGTGTTGGTCACCGGTGATCTAGTAATAGGGCTCAGGTGATACATTGGGGAAAGTGCTTGTTCCAATGGTGGACCTTCGTTCTGATGACTGATAACCGCCGGCTTCGGAACAATGGACCTTCGATCTGTTGACAAGAGAAGAACAAGTGAGGATTCGAAGAAGAATAGGAAACAAAAGACAAGAATGCTTGCTGTCGATTGATTTTTTTCTGCCGGTCAATTCCACGTTTACGGACGCCGGTGTGATGCTTCTTTTGGGTTAGGGCTCGGAGGAGAAAGAATAAAGTGGTTTTCATTTCTATTTGTCCTTTTGTGTTCAGTTCAACCGGATTCAAGTAGCTAACGTTGGAATCCCGTTAACATTAGCATGAGTATGAAGTTGGTGACGTGCACACCACCTATTGGAGGGTTCACGCTTCCCGTGCACCTACGGGTGCATAGAACGCGGATTCATTTAATACTGACATAAAATCTTATCATTGGTTGTACAGCCTGCTGAACAATTAAAGTGTTCAACTAAACCTTGTTCATCTTTCTCTAGTTTGGACCAATGTTATCAATCCATGGCCGGATTGGTAAACCACCACCTGGCCATATTTTCGGGTCTTTTATTTTTACCTCAAATCGTTTATTTGTAAAAAAATTAAAAAAAAAAGAAACAAGTTGACTTAACCAACAATGATGACCCGACCAGTTGAATGGTTGAACTGTATGACCCGGCCAACAGGTTATAGGTCAATACATTAATTCTCATTTTTTGGTTTTCTTTATATTTTTGCTATTTTTTATCATTAAAAACAATGACAATAATTATCATTTATCACAACTATTTTGTTTAAACGATAATATATCATATTAGAGACATTTTGATTTATAATATCAATCAATGTTTTCAACCTGCAATTGACCTTGTTGGTCGAACCGTTCAAATCATCACCTGACCAGAATTCTGGGTCTAATTTAGTCAAGACCCATCAGACGGTCGAAAACCGTTGAATTGGTCAAGAGCTGTTCAACCCAGCCGGTTCGACCATTGACCTGTTCAACCCGATGATAGGGTTGTAGGTTACACTCAATGCATGCAAAACTTTCGAAGGGTATAATTTTACACTTCAATGTTCGATTGGGGTGATTTTTTTGTAACTTTTCAAGATTTGTGCATCCCAAAGAGCCATAGGCACCTTGCCCTACTATTTTTCACGAAAAAAACTCTTTTTTGGCCTTAAATTACAATTTTTAATATTTTTATAAATAAAAAATTAAAAACATAAATTAAATATAAAATAATACATATAACATATGTAAAACATAATAACATAATTATACATTATTTATTGCTAATATATATATATATGTATGCATGGCTTAAATAATGATGATGAATTGTAAATTCAAGTCTTTATTCACGTTATTCAAATACATATCTCTTGCCATTAAAATGACGTCTTCTTAGTATTAGGGAATATTGTGATGAGATTAATCTTGTGTTAAGATGTGATAAGGATTAGTGAGAGTTTTAGTTTGATTAGGTTTATCTTTCTCATGTAAATCTCATATTCAGAACTAGTGCATTCTATTTTCTCATTCTATGATGTTTAATACTTGGCTGACTTTGAGACAAATTGGAATTGTTTTAGGGAAATACTAACAGGGACTCGTGTGATGCATGGGCTTTGTTAAATGAAAGTTAAACAATAAAAGCACATAAGAGTAGACAATTGTTTTATATTTTAACATTTTAAATAATTAATAATTCGATATGCCCGATGCGCCGATAGAGGCGCATCAAGCTGTATCGGTAGATTTTTTAGTTTTTTTTTTCAAATCCGGTTCAGAGGGGGCAATTTAAGGTCCATCCACACCCTGAATCGATCAAAACCTTGATACACCCTCTATAGGGGCATATCGGGAAGCTCTCGATACGATAGGTATCGATTGATACGTATCAATACTTTGAACTTTGGTTTAACCATTGAACCACATTACAACTTTGTATTTTGTATATATATATGCACTGATGTGGTATGGTCTAAATCGTTTGACCCGGTTGATCGAACCGGTGACCTGCAACCCAAAGGCAAAAATGGTTCAGCCTCTGGGTCGGTTTTTAAGACATTGATATCAATAATTGAGCTATTAAACATTTGGACCTAACGGTCCAACCCAAGGTTCAAAATATCGATATGCCCAATGCGCCGATAGAGGCATATCAAGCTATATCGGTAGATTTTTTAGTTTTTTTTTCAAATCCGATTTAGAAGGAACAGTTTAAGGTTCATCCACACCCTGAACCAGTCAAAACCTTGATATGCCCTTTATAGGAGCATAACAGGAAGCTCCCAATACGATACGTATCAATACTTTGAACTTTGGTCCAACCATTAAACCACATTACAACTTTGTATTTTGTACTAAAATTGCATAGATGATGACCCTTAAGCTCAATTTGGAAAGAATACAAATGCAAATATGTACAATATATATATATATATATATATATATATATATATATATAAATCAATATATAAGGTTTTGCGCTCTACACATTTGCATTTGTACTCTTTTCAAACTAAGCCTTAATGAATTTGTATGCTTCCAGGTCTTTCACCATATTCATGTATATTGAGGTTCAGATTTTGCCAGGCCCTAAAGAATGTAAAGCCGAGTCAAGGGTGGAAACGTGGAAAATCCAATTGTCCATACTCCATAGGAGCATTGTGAATTGGTAAATTTCTTTCCCATAGTTTATACCAAGGTTCAAAGTAGGGTGTATTATCGGTGCTTTTTTTTATGTTTTATTTTTATTTTTTCAAAACTGGTTCAAAGGAGTCGATTTAAATCCCGACTACCCTCTGAACCATGGTCTGACCTGATACAACCCCTATAGGGGCATATCGGGAAGCTCCTAGCACAATATGAGGTCGATTTAAATCCCGACTATCCTCTTATCTCTTAAAGTACAATCATACAACTTTTTGTTTTCCAATGGTACACCTAGAAAGACAAACGAAAACTCTCATATATAAAGTCAAAACAAATGTGATAATTTTTAGAATTCAGAATTCAAAACAACATTTTTTGCATTCAGAGTTCAGAGGAAAGAAAAGTTCACCAATACCAATATTCCTCTTAATGTAATTATTCTTTCAAATGTCAAGCTTCAAAACAAACAAACATGCCCTTGGTTTATACCCGTGTGGCCCAATAATAATTCTCCTTACCTTCATATGACACAATAGATTTGGTGAATTCCAAATGTTTCCGTTAGATTGCATGGCATCCCTACTAGTAAGTCTCACGTTAGATTGCATGGCATACCTACACGGTAAGTCCCACGGCTTTCACCTGTGCTACTGCTACATGAAGAGTGACAAATAAGGTTAAGTTGCATTTGGAAGCAATGTAAAACATCATCAATATAAAAATTTACATCAATTCGGTTTTGTTCACATTTGAATGGAGTGTAAATCAAGATCAATGTAAAACTCCACTCCGAATGAAACTCTACTACGCAAAACCTGAATTTAAGAACGTCAATATTTCACTCCACTTTCTCACATTTGATTTTCTTTTCTTCCTAGTGGGAAAGGAATATTAATTTCACTGCTAGTACAGTTCTCACCTCTAACAGCAGAAATCCTTTTTGCCCTCTTCTTTTACCTCAAATGGAGGAAAAGGAAATTAACTAACAATATTATAAAAGCTACAGAAGAGCCGACAATTACACCCTCTCAAGTTCTGTTACATGTTTGTCTAGCTGCTCTTTCAACTCTTTCCTCCAACCTTCAATTAACCTTTCTTGCTTTTTGATCAATTCAGTCTTCAGTCTCATCTCTTCCTCCATCGCTGCAATCTCCTGGCAAAACAGAAAGAAAGAACCGAGAAGATTAAGAATCCTAATAGATGTTTCTCTACATTTTGGAATACATGCACCCATGCACACATTAAAAACTAAGATTTGATATTCAAATAGATTATACCTTGTAAAATACTTGCTAATGAAAAAAATCAAATCTCTCTTCATTCTCTCTCTTCCTTCATGGAGTTTAACATTCCCCTTTTTGGTAATTTGAGAAGAATAATACCAAAGACAATTTTTTATTTCTTGCACCCCTTACAAATGCATCTCATGCCACACGTGTGGAACATTGCGTTATGGGATGGCAATTGGCACCTGGCCTGACAAATGAATGGCCAACCTGAAATAAGGCAATGTTCTAGCTGTTGTGTAAGACTGCATAGTAAAAGAGAAGTCTTATTCTTAGCATTCCTCAGTAGGTCCAGTCCTCTTCTGTGGATGCAGACTATTTGAATTCCTGTGATACGCAATTGAGGATATTTCAATTGTGTGGTTTAACTGTTTAAGGTTTATATAAGAAACTTGAGTGTGCTTTGCTAAGACTAGAAGAAATCCAACAAGCATCCAATTGGCTTTTAATCAAGAAATCAAGAAGTCATGAAGTATGCATCACGACCACAAGATAATAGGTTTCAAAAATATTTCTAATGTGCTACAGCTCCCCAGACAATACCACATATTTCTGCCACAAGCAGGAATCCTGTGGGCAGATAGAAAATGTCTATCAGATAGAAGACCCTTTGGATTGGCCATGCATTTGCTCCCACAGTCCAAATCAGCCTATAATTGAAGTAATTGTCAGGCTACATTACCTATCCAAACTTTATTCTTTTATTCTAGAGAGAGAGAGAGAGAGAGAAACTTCTCTGGTTACACCCATGAATCATTGAAATCATACAGCCATCCAGTGTAGCTGCATAGCCTCTCAATATGATCCTGTTTTCAGGGGAAAGAGGTATTAAAATTTTGATTACCTTTCGAAGTGTCTCTTCCTTAGTAGGTTGATCTTCATTTTGCAAACCAATAAAATAAAGCTGAAGCTTTTTGGCTGCCTCCATGAAATCTCTAGCATGCCTCTCTACATCAACTGTAAGCAACCACAAGATAAGTTCATTATATACTTGTACAGACACATAAGTTGAGGTTATGCACTTCAAAAAGACATTCACATACGAAGAGTAAACCACATATGCATAACTCCCCATCCCCAACTCTATGTACAGTAAAGCTCATTTACTAAAAAGAACCAAAAAAAAAGGCCAAAACCAAACAAAAACATGAGATCCAACTTCAAAATCTTGCTTCTCTTGAAGTTTATACCAGTATTATTACTCTGGAAACTTCCATTTTATCAAAATCAAATATACTTTTATGATGGTTAAATCCACCAATTGATAATAAGCCTCCAATAACCCATCAAGTTAAGTCATACAAGAACAATAAGTTGCAATAACTCACTCCACAGTTACACTTGGTGTTTTGGTGAACAAGATTAAAGTCAAAAAAGATTATTTGTAATATCAGGTTCAAACATCTCAGAAAAATCAAACAAATAAAGGGTGCCCATATATTACTCTGATGAGAGGGATGGGGGGAACGATCTATAGCTTGGAGCTCTCTTGCTGGGAGGCATGGAAGTAGTGCAGCTTCTAATGCCATGACACAGGCGATCATGTCCTCCCTTGGTGTTGATGATTGCATCTGCTGATCTACTTGATCAAGTGGCTGTCGCTCTGCCATTTCCTTCCCTACTGTCTTGTGCCTAACCTTGAAAACAGAAAGTTTTCTCTCTCTCTCTCTCTCAAATGTAATGAAGAGACCTCAATTTTCTGCAATAACTATAAAAGAGATTCAATTAGACCAGTAAAGATTTTCTCTTTTATATAAACAACACTAATAAAAACTTTTTTATTGCATCGGCAACAGTGATGTACAAATGATAAAAACAGCAAATGCTGACCCCACTAGTTACAAGTCAAAACCAGAACAGAGTTATAGATATACCTCGGTCCAAGCATTCCACATACAATGTTGTCCCTGCCCAGTTCTGGCCCAAACATCAACTAGAGTATCGGTTGCTCTTAGAGAAAATCTGAATGATGCATTCAGGTCCTCGTCCATAGAGGAGTAATTCCATCACAAAATTTAAGGTTGTGCTCACAGCAGAGTGGAATTTGGAAAAATATGTTTTTTGGGCTTCAATTCCACATTTTAGCACAATTATAAAGGGCTATGTCCAGGGGTGGATGATCCGTGCCATTGTCATATAAATTTGGCATAGTTGAGGTGATTACATCGATTGGAATTCACTACGAAAAATTGAAACCAACATGAGCTCTCACAGAGCTATTTAGGATTTCTTGAGACGCTAAGAGGTGTTCAAACATGCATGCATACATGAAAATAGATGTATGGCTAACAAACTAAATTGGAAAAAAATGCAATGCACATGACTGATTGTTTAGTAACTTAAAGATTTGGGTAGTGTGTAATCAGCAGCATGTAGGGGTGTCAATTGGACGGGATTTGGTCCAATCCGATCCAGCCAATGTGAGTCCATTATAAACGGACCAGGTCCAATCCAAACCTATGAATGTTTTGAACCAATTTGGACCGGTCCAATTCAATGTCTGGACCGTCCAATCTGTTCAAATTCATTTTGATTTAGATTGGTTTCAACCCAAACCCAGTCCATTGACACAGATATTCTTATCTTATATCAATGGACCAATT